AACAAATATAGAAAAGATAACAGCAGCAAAGAAATTTTCAAAAGCAATTCGAAAGGTTTAACAAACTTTTGTCATTCTTCATTATGTCACGCATTTTTGGGATTTCTGAACAGTGAAAGATTGGTATAGCCAAGGAAGAAGACTTAAAATCCATTCAAGGATTGGATTGTCTCTACTCCTAGCCCAGCAATTTCTTTTCCAATTAGGTTAAAAGTTCCGTTATCATTAATACTATCCACCCGATGAACATAAGATTGTGATTTTCCGGAAGTGCGAGAATGTCACTTAATTTGCCTTATCTTTCTTATCTTATTATAGTAAAAAGTACTGGCCAATATTCTTCAATAACTGCATTGGCCAGAGATGGTAATGTAGCCTAGGAAGGTCTGAATGTCACTAAGTTACATCTAAGTTTGTTGTTTTCATATCAAGCAAAAATGGCAAAGTTGAAAAGTTAAATTATGGAACAGAATATGTTAATATGTGCGAACACGGGAAAGTGAAAGCATTAGAAGACATAAGTATGGTGTGTCATTGTAGGTGCGCAAAAGTATCAAATGTCATACAGAGCTTCCTGTCAATGCTCAACGATTGCCCAGAAAGTAAATCATCGAAGTCTTAAGTCGGAGATTTGAGTGATATGGACAGTGCTGTGATCAGACACGGATATCAGTGTAAGATATTTATTCTTTCTTCTCATAAAGTGACTTTTCATCTGACGTAAAGCATTACGGGAATTCATTGTCATTCATTCTTCCTAAAAACCAATGTAAATAATCATTGATAAGAACAGCTCAAAATCCACTTATCACAATTTTATAACTATTATATCATTTGGTTACGAAAAAAAGAAAACAAAGCAGTATATCAAAGATTCTTTTTCGCAATTCGACTTTTAACATAAATACAATGAATGATAAAATTTACAGTGACCTACAGCCTTCCCTTAAAATTATTTTTTATCTGACATCAACATTTAACATCACGACTTATAGTAATCAATGATAACACCAACTTTTGGTAACAAAAAAACTTCGGGTGTACGAAAACAAATAAACTTTGATTTTAGATCTACAAAGTCACATAACCGATTCCAAACAGGTCCTTAATTTTCGCAGCCATCTGACACCAAGTTTTAAGCCAAGTTTATTTATTCAATAAAGTGGCTTATGTGCACCTTTTCTTCGTAGACCCAAAATGAAATTAATTATATGAATTCACGTTGACGAATTAATAATTTCCTATTCTGGATCAGGAAAGAATTAAGATCCTTCACCGAAATTTTTTGTTTTACGGGTGACTAGAACGGATTGAAAAGTCACAGCACCGATTTCAGGCAGAAGCGTCTTTTAATGTTGCAGAAATAACCAAGCAAAACATTTCCGAACTAATTACGTAGAAGGAAGTTGACAAAATATGCGTTAATCATTGATTGTGATGAAGTCGCAATAACAATCAATGATTCCTACAACCATGTCATAATAAAATTTAAGAACAAAGTTGGGGACCTTACTCACGAAGTCCTAGATCAGTTTACTTTTAGTATATATGAATCGATTGGTCTTGGCTCGTTCCGCCCATTCCATTGCTATTGTTTTCTTAACAGAATCCTTTGTTACACATCCACTGCTGGTGTCGTGAAAAACAAAACCTCAAATAAATTCATTCACATTGTAAATTAATGCTAATGATACTATGAATCACTCTTAACATATCTACATTCCTTAAAATTGTTTCCCACACTTTTTTGTTGTTATCTTATCTAACCAATTTGCATTCTTATGTTTAAACCCTTAATTTCCCATGTCAATCATTCTGTTTAATCTTGTTATAATGCTTGGTACAAGCATTATAACAAGATTAAACAGGCTTGTACCATCTCCGGTGTGTTTCCGATACTGCTTTGTACCATCTCCGGTGTGTTTCCGATACTTGAATTCTTCATGTAAACCACTCCCATTTCTTAACATATATAATCTGGGTCCCAAATCCGGGGGGAGGTTTTTTCTGCTCTCCTCTTCGAAAGTTATCGGCTTCTTCTGCTTATTCTTCGCTTCTACGGACATTGGCAGATTTTTATCAATCTCTTATCACGATAAAGGTTAATA